CTCCCTTCCTTCTTTTCTTCCTTCCTTCCTTCCTTCCTTCCTAGCAGTTTTGCACACTGTTTTAAATTTTTTATTTATTTACTAGCTTTAGAAAGAGGGAGAAAAAGAGGGAGAGCAACATTGATGTGTGAGAGATAACATGAATCAGTTGCCTCTCACACGCCCCCTACTGGGGACCTGGCCCACAACCCAGGCATGTGCCTTGACTGGGAATCCAACTGGCAACCTTTCATTTCAGAGGCTGTCATTCGATCCTCTGAGCCACACCAGCCAGGGCAGTTCTAAAAGCCAGTCATTCTTAAAGATTCTGTTCCTTGTCCTGGCTCCTAACGATGCAGTCACAAGTCTCACCCATTCTACTCTAAGGTCCTGTGTCACCTGGCACCCTCACACCTCTGCAGCCCAGCATACATCACCATACACACAGCTTCTCTTTCATCTTCTACATATGCAATGATACTTTGAAGAGCAGCTTGAAATCTCATTTTCCTCAGAAAGCACATGCTGTCCTTTGGATCGCTTCCTCAAAAATCTGTCTTTTTGATTGACTTTTCTTCTTAGTCACCTTTATGTCTTCGGATACTTACACAATTTCCAAGCTCCCATTCAACAAATACTTTAAATGAATCAGTTCTAGGAATGACCACAAACAAACTAACAACATCTTCACATATGTGTTAGCATTTTTCCCCAGAAATACAGGGATAATAGTACAATTCATTTTATAGTTGTGTGTATGATATAAAGTAGTCATATAAAGACTTAGCTCATCAGTACTAATATTCAACAAATATTATTAGTTTTAACAGTTGAAATAATCATCTTTAAATATCCTTATGGTTATTTTGGACACAATGCCGTTGTTCAAATATTTTGCCACAGGAGAAGACAGTCACCAGAAAAAAAAAATCAAGGGGAAGAAAACTTGGAACGGAAATTGGAAAACGCATCTGAGCTTTGCTCAAATTTTGAAGGGCATGTAGAGAAAAAAAGAAATTAGTGGAAGGAACAGGGAAAAGACAGCAGAGAAAAGACAGGTTAATTCCACACCGTGAACTACTGAATTCCCTTTCTAAGGAAGTGACACATCCTTTTCTGCTGAAAACCAGATTGAATACTTAACATTAACTGTAGCCTTTGGACCCAAATCTGTTTAAGCAAGAAATCAAATTTCTTAAGATTTTTTAAACTAAAATAACGTATAATGATAAGGAAACTAGTGATTTTCCTTCTGTGATGAAGGAGAGAAAGCTTCGGGGAGGATATTCAACTTGAGTTAAATCACAAGAGACAAGGCAAAGCTGCACAGAATAAAACTGTGGGGAGAGAGGGTTTTCACACCATGAAATGGCATAAGTGGGGGGTTTTGGACGCCGTTTTGCTTCGGTTGCCACCGGGCCAAGCAGGAGACGCCAGGAGTGAGGACGCCCGAAGGCCAGGGTAGGAACTTTACATTTTTTGCTCTAAAAATAATAGGCTTTCCACTGAATACTTATACAATGAAAGGGATATTTTGGTGAGAATGGAACAGTAATTCTCTCTTTGGTGTTCACTGTAAGAAGAGGTCTCGAGTAAGATGAAGATTCTGTAGTTTTAGGAACAAGATTCAGGATTTAAAAAAAGGATGGAGAGATAGAAGTGAGAAGGAGAATGATCACTGTGTAATTAAAAAATAAAAGATGAATAAGGAAATAATACATACACACAGGTAATATACAAATATGTTATATATATATATATATATATATATATATATATATATACACACACACACACACACACACATAAGAGATCGGAGAAAGAAGAGGCATCAGAGATCATTCCTGTGCTTCCAGCTTGAAGAACTCGAAGAACACAGTGGCATCCACACAAACCTGTGGGTGTGACACTGTGTCACCGACAACAAGCCGAGTGGCAGAGACACGTCTTCACAGGACCACCCATTACCCCCTGGGAACCACAGCCCGTGCCCTGCGCATCGCTCAGTCTTCAGTGGCTGATGGTGGCAGTTGCTGGGTAGAAAAATAAGCGAATCAGAAAATAAGAGGGGTGAGCCGGAAGAACAAGCTGAGTGCAGTTCAGTAACTGTTACTTGTCAGTATTGTGTCAAAGAGAGATGGTTCTCTTCAAAGTCTACACACGATTTTTAACAACTGGAGAACTATCTCCTCACTTCATGTACACAACACATATTTTACGGAGTCCTTACACTGTTCAAAGCACTGTGAGGGATCTGGAAAACGCAAAATATCGCCTGAGTAGCACAGAGTCCTTTGAGAGGTCAGAAGGGAAAAAACCTACAAGGAACTTCAGAAGGTAGACGCTATTTGAGTGCAGCCTTAACAACAGAAAAGACAGCCGAAGACTCGGGTGAAAAGCAGTGATTTTCAGCTCGACTGAGAAGGTGTGGAGAAATGTTCACAGGTGGGAACGCAAAGAATTCCAGGGGCAGCGTCTAGCTCCGTGGCAATGCAGAGCGCACAGAGAAGCGAAGAAGCGTGGGAGTTAGGACCACATTGTGAAGCCATGACTGCCAAGGTAAGGGCTTGGGCCCTGTTCCCTTTAACAGGAAATAAGGAGTTAGTGCAGGCGCTGAGTTCTGATTAAAATAATAAAGAGGCGACACTGTGCACCTCCCCACCCCGGAAAACACGGGCCTGCTGTCAGTGAAAACTCACCCAGCCAGGGAGAGCCTCAGAGCTAAGTCGCTATGGTTACCATTATGGGGGACAGACTTAAACAAATCGCAGATGATGCCGATGCATGGTTATAGGAGGGACACAGGCGCTGCACAGTCTCACGTGCCCACAGCACGGGGTGGGATTCACAGGGTGGGACGTGCTCTCCCAGCTGGGAAACACCGCTGCCGGTTTCCACTGTGGGACCGGCTCTACGCTCGGGTCCTGAACTGTTAGCAAGCGCGCCACCTGCCGCTCAGCTCCAGCGGTGCCGCCCGCTGCCTCCGCAGAAAAGCGAGCACTGCTCGCGGGGCGCCTGGGCTCCTTGGGGCCTGGCCTGCAACCCCTCTGCCAGCCTCGCCGACCCCCTCCGACACTTCCTATGTCCTCACACCCCCGCACTTGGCTACACAGCCGTAGTGGCTCCTTGGACATCGCAGATTCTTTCTCACATCAAAGACTCTGCATTTGTTGTTTTTCTTCTGCCAGAAATGTCTTTCCCCAGATGCTCAGAGGACTGGCTTCATCTCATCGTTCAAGTTCAAATCTAAAATAAAGCTGCTTCTTTAGGTATAGATTGTCTCTTTCCAAAGAGAGCAAAATTCGGCACCTAACAGGCACTCAGAAATATCTGTGGAATCAGCAAGTGGATGGGTCATCTCACTTCATGACAACTGAGTCAGGAACCACCCACCTCCAGGATGAGGAAGCGGAGCTCAGAAACACTGAAGCCACTTCCCCCAGGTCACCAGTCGGAGCGCTGTTTGGACGAGTATCCTGAAGTCTTTCCTCCACTCGCCAGCATCCTCCCTGCTGCACAGAGAAGCGGAAACTGGTTCCGGAGGTTGAGGCCTTGGAGGAGCTGCAGCATCCGACCTGGAGGTCGGAGGGAGGACCGCAGGGCAGGCGCCAAAGAGGAAAATTGCAGATGCATTCTGGGAGCGACCGAAACCCCTAAAGAAAGCACACATCTGTGAGCAAAGAGAGGCCTTTTGATGGTGCTTGTTACGTTCACTTTTTTCTTCTTTTCTTCTTCCTAGAATAATATCAAAATATGGTAATGTTCCTTATCTCATTTAATCCTTAAAACTCTCTCAGATTCGATGACCGTTCCCACTTACACTATTAGAATCAAAGATGAAAGGACATTACAGAGCTTGCTTCGCTCATGTGAACAGCAAGGAAGTAGCTGATGTGGCTACAGGTCTGTCTGCCTATCTTTGAACTTCAATTCAATAAATATAAATTGTAGGTTTACAGTGGTGAGCACGTGAAGCAGAGAGTTTATATTTGTTATTTATTTACTTGTTTTTTGTATTATATACTATTACTGTAAACCAACTTTTGCCCACCCCTCTATAGCTTTTTACCAGAGCCCCAGATGCTGGCACTTTTACAATCACCCCCATTTTGCCAAGACATTTTATTTCAATTCAACCAACACTTACTGACTGCCAATTATGTGTTAGATAAGTCGGCTAATTACCAAAGCATGGAGTGATGAGTACGACAGATATGGCGCCTGCCCTCAGTGAGCTTTAAATTTGAAGATTCCCCTCTCCTTTGCGCCTCAACAGTGTTCACTGTTTACGTCAAACAGCCTGGATGTGAAATGTTCTGCTTCTCAGCACGCGTGCTGGGGCGTGTGCAGAGTTGGATGAGTCTCACGGCAAGGAGGACTTTTACATGTTGGCACTCCAGGAGAATGGAGTGTCTCTCTTAGACCTTGCTGGGGACGCCAACATGTCGTGATGGACAGGGGACAAGGGTACACGTACAAACATACACATATACATATATGTGTGTGTCTGTTTGGCAGAGAGGGGGTGTTATTTGGTTCATTTTGCCAAAAAAAACACAACAAATTAGAATTAAAAGCAACACAGTAAAACCAATATGAAGGAGGTATGGAGAATGGGAACCGGCTGGTGGAAGCCATCCTGGTAAATTCTGGTCATTGTTCTGCCTCTGGAAGGTTCATTTTAGGTATTAAGATCAAAGCACTCGGAGGGGTAAGGGGGTGGGAAAAGAACTTAAAAATCATGAAGTATTTTGATTGCCTTTTCACACTGCCATTTTTTAAAATAAACTCAAAGTAAGGTTTTACTGGTGCTCGCCATTAATGCCAAACCTCTCAACCTGGAAAAAAGCACACCAAGCATGTATTCTGCATCAGAAAACGAATGTGTGACCTCTCTGCTGTTTTGCATCCCATGATCTTCAGGTTTAGGGGAAAATTCAAATAATAAGTGTATCTGCCATCTGTATAAGTCATATCTTTTAATCAAACTAATCTAGTGATACGCACTCTTATTTCCGCAGATTAACATCGACTTCAGCACCAGGGACCACATCTCAAAGAACATCGCGAAGCCAACTCTCGCATGTTTTGACGAAGCCCAGAAGTTAATCTACAGTCTCATGGCCAAGGATTCTTTCCCTCGGTTTCTAAAGTCAGAGATTTATAAGAAACTGGTAAATAACAAACAGGTTGGAAATCATAAAAAATGGATCCCTTTCTTGTAAGGAAGGTAAATGACAAACTAATAATCAGGCTATAATTTGGGGGGAAACAAGTGACTGGTCAGAACATCTCTTAATCCTGCATGTCAAGGCAAAAACGTTTTCCATACAAAGCACAAAGTAAGTTTTTTAGGGTTTAGAAAACATTTTTTTTTACTCCAATGGAAAAATAATATTTTAACTATGAAGCCTAAATTGCCAAGTCATCTGTTTAGGATTTTTTCATTTTAGCAGGCAGTTAAAAGTCTTCTACTGGGGGAGTTCAAAGGCAGTTTGTAGAGATATAATACACTCGAACCACAAGTGGGATTCTTGTGACATTATAAATTCATGGAATGATATGTCTTCATGTGACCGAATGGAGACTGGTTAGCATTATAAACATGAATTTAAATACCCTTTGCATTATTCAAAACATCACTTCTAAAAAAAAAAAAAAAAGAAATGAAAGAAAGAAATTCTGCACCAAACACAATGAAGGTATTAAACTTTTTCTTTTCAGTCAGGATCTGCTGGATAATAATATGGTGTTGCCTAAACTGCTATGGCTCTCCCATTAAAAAGAAAAATCACAGTAATATAACAGCATTGATCAAGCTTTGTCAAAATCTATCACTTGGTTTAAATTCAGTGGCATCACATTACCATGTAGGGAAAAGGCTTAGAGGGTGGAAAGACTGATTTTTCTTAGATTGATAAGAATATAAAGAAAAGAGAATGAATAAGGAACATGGACAAGTCCTTATATGATGAACTGTATGGAGGCAATTGTCCCATAAAATAAAAATTATTGCAACACTATGTACTCAAGTAAGTATGGAATTAAGTATCTATTCACTCATTCAGCAGTGGAATTTATTTCTAAGACTCAAAGAAATTATAAAATCCATTTATTTTAAGAAATTCCCAGTTTCTTCCTGTATATATGTCCTGTGATAAGTATGAATAATGTTGTGTCGATATGAGAAGCTATAGAGATTCAACAGATTGTCTGTCTTTTGATTGTATTTGCACAGATTTATTTATCTTTGGCAATATCTCTATTTTGCAGGCTATATGAACATTAAAAATGAAGGAAAAAATAACGACTTATTTTATGTTTCTACAATGATTTATTTGATAGCCAAAACTTTGTCTCCCTTTTGTCATCAAAACTAAACATTTAAACACATGCAAATGGAATATTCCCTGTGCACTTGCAAATTTCTTTTTAATGAATGTGCAATGCAAACCGATCGCGAAGTACTCAGTGCACCTTATGGTGCATCTACTGGAAAACAGCTACATGCCTTCCAACATTTAATCTGAAGGTTCCAAACTTAATGCGGTCTCTACTTAAATAAGAAATTGAAAATTCATTCCCAGAGATGCAAAAGACTTTGGAAGATAGAAGAGCACTTAGAAATCAAAATCATATCCTTCCTTTCATAAATTAAAAACAGTGGGAAGTCGGTTATTCCCTAAGGTCATCCAGCTGGCAAATGGCAGCGCTGGTTACGAAGCGTTTTTCCCACGGTGCCAGCTGCCTGTGCCCACGGCGGAACGGAGGGTCCCCCCCACCTGGAACCGCACTGAGGCCTGGAATCCAAACCCCCACCGCTCCTCACACGCCCAGCCCCGGTCCTTCCACTGACTACTCGGATTACCCCTTTGCAGCCAGTTTGCAACTTTCTCCGTGTTGTCACAGCGTCACTTCACAGGGCAGGCTTGCCTCTCAGGGTTCTCCTAATCGTGCCCAGGAAGCCCCCAGTCAAACGTGCATCACCTCGAGCAGGACAGCGCGGCAGTGGGTGAAAATAGAGTGGGTGTCCAATGTTCGCTGCGAAAGCAGATGGTGCCTGGCTTCTCAAAGACCCCAACCAAAGAGCCGCGATAGCAATACTTCGTTCTCACCTCCTAACTCATCCTCCATCCCCAGCTATCATGGCAAGTTTTCTGACATAATAGGACAGGAAAGAGAACAACTGCAGGTTGGGGGTAAGACCAATTCTAAGTTTTAGGACTATCTGGTAGTGAGAACTTCTAGTGAAATATCAAATGGGTGTCATTCACGTGCGGTTCTATTTACGTCTCTTTTGCTTTGTAAGTTAATTTATTTTATCATTTATCATTGATGACTATTTTATGGAAGGGATTTTTAAACAAAAAGAATAAGTTTGTAAAAATGAATAAGAACATTAACATTCCGGGTAAAGCATTTAAATATTTCAAGATTGTGTAATGCCATTTTCTGAAAATATTTGCATTAGCTTTAAGAAATGAAGCACTTATATTAAAACCGAGGCTATGCAGTAAAACGGTAATAAAATTACAAGACACTGACATGTATATGACCTTCAAATGACAACTTTCCCAAGTACAGTGTTTTCCATTTTCTTACAGTTCATAGAGAATATATTTTTAAACAATTTATATTTGCCTTTCATTAGATCAGACCTAAAAAAAATTAAATGATATGTTCCAAAAAGAATCTTAGCTTCTTCAACAATCCACTGTACAGCTATGACCCATGAATTTGTCTACAATTCTTTTTAATTTATTTGAAGAGCAAATAGTGATGATTAATCACTAGTGAGTACAGATTCCTGTAAGTTTATGCCAACACAGTTTCTTACACTTGCCTAGAAACTCTCTATTTTGGTCTCAAAATATAATCAACAGAAATTTTTTTACTAATATTATATTATAAAAATCTAAATTTTTTCGGGCATTACAAACATGAGCTAGTGTCGACTTTATTTTCCCCAATTTTTTTTAGTCTGTCCATACATAAAACTACTCATCCTACTCGTTTTCGCTAGTTTACTTTTCTCCACAGTTTTCTGATTTGTGTATTTTAGCAACTACGTGTATGTTTAGTATTGCTGATGAGAGTATAAGCTGATATAATAAAAACAGAGGAAGATGTTTTCTATTTCCTTTCCAATATTCTTTTTAACAAGATTAGTATCAACTTGGCTTTTGAGCAATAGTAGCATCCTGGCCCATAGCTCTGCAGAATAGTCCAGATTTCTTTCCTGGAATTTCAAAAAAATTTTTAATTCCATTAGCCTGAACTGAAATTTTGGACTGAACTGACCTTCCTTCTGGTTTACATGGAAGCTGATAAACTAATCTCCCCAATTGTACAGGCTATGTTCTAACATAAACAATCAGTTTCAGTCATTGTTGAGAAACTAAAAAGATCCATCCTAAAGAACAATTCTCTTCAAAAACAAAAACAATTTGATCTCAGTATCATGAGTCTTCACATTGATTTCCTGTGCAAAATTGCTGTCTCTACCTTCACCCCCACGTGCCTGACAGTTTCACTCCAATTGGATTTAACGTGGGACTGACTGAACCACTCCCCAACCACACGGCCATGTAGTGCAGTTCATGGCGACGCCGATTATTTGAGTGAACTTTTCCACGCTGGGTGAAAAACCACGGGCGTTGTCAAAGCGGCAGTGGGTGGTTTTGTGAAGAGTCGCGGCCGCTGCTCCCTCTGCTGGCTCAGACGGGCCATCGCATCTGCCTGGGGCAGCGTCGGAAGTGATTACTGTGACTGCTATATACGATAGTTACTATTTACAGTGTGTATCTGAATATAAAATGCATGTGCGTCATTAATTCTAAAAACTAATGAACAGATATTGGTGTGTTTCCAAGTAGAGCAGAAGGTGGAAAAATAACATTGTTCAATGACCTCGTTTCTTTAAGAAGCCATGTAAGTTCTCTCCTCGTTTAGTTTAAAATGCAAAAAACAGGATCGATGTCTAGAACGAAAAAAAGAAGTTTAATCAGGGTATTGTTTAGCCATGAATATTTATGCCTGTGCTGTATCTGGATTAAAGTCAGTTCTGCATATTTCCAAAAAAAGACAACTGTCTTGTTCAATTCACATTTTTTTCTTGGGTGATAATTGTCTAATTAACTATTCCTGGACATCTCATATAAAACATCATTTCACTGACATATTTTTACAAATTTTGAAGCACTTAATTCCTTACAAATATGATATGGTTTCTTTGCTCTGACACTTTTATTCCTTCTGTGCACTTAGGAAAATAAGTTGTAATATTTCGACCATTCAGTTTGTGAATGATGATGGCTTAGAAATAAAATATAAGTCCCTAGTTCTTTAAACACTGATACAAAAAAATTAAAGGTTTTGTAAGGTAGGTATATTAAATAGTCTTGCATTTATTTTATTTATATAGATTTTAATTAAAATGTTTTATTTTTAAAGTATCAGTTTAGGCCTTTAAAATGTAAATATTTTTCTGAATGATGACTTTGAATTATTGTTTCTGTTATGCTTTTCAAATATGTCATATTTATCACAAAGACATAATCGTGAACTCTAAAACTGGTTATCCTACTTATAAAGGAAATGACAGAGGAAATTCCTTTTAGGTAGTAGGAAATAATAGATTTTAAAATGAATCATTCAAAGCAGTGTTTAATATATAAACATGAATCTTTTATGGGATCATTTCAAAATCTATTATTAAGAACTGAGAGCACTTCAAGAGATTTAAATATTCAATGTATAATTGATCTACTAGAAATTTCCTTTTAAAGCATTGTTTATTGTCCGACAATTCCACAGATTTTTTTTTAATGGGATTTTTATCTTTGCTAGAAGCAGTCTTGTCACCACTGGGTGGTCCCGTGTAACCAGAGGGGCTTTCTATGCAGAATGGGCGCTTTCAGAACTGGGTATTTGCAACCAGAGGCCTGATCGCAGCCAGGCCTGCCAGCCGACAGCAGCTGCCTCACCCTATACTTCACTGCGCGGGGAAGCTTTACCCGTTCACCTGTGCTGAGCTGTCAAGGTATTCGACGTGGCCTTCATGGAGTCAGCTGTCTTCCCACCCTGACTGTGTCTGTGTGTTATTTAATGAGGTCATGCAGCGATTTCATGTAAATAAAACTTACAGAAAGCAAAAGGGGAAAAACCAGTCTTAATAAATATGCAACTCTGTTGACAGGAGATGAGCACTAGCAACAAGGATTCC